CAGAAAAACCCCCAAACAAAGTAGTAATCGGATAAAGAAAGTTCCAAAACCGATCAACGGCACTTTGTATTTAGAAAACTTTTAGACATATCTTTCACTAGTAGAGTCTAGAATGCAGGCTCAATGTGGGCATCTATGAAAAAACAAGTTATAGCTGATATAACAAAGCTGAAATGTGTTGAGTTTGTGCCTGGGGTATCAGTCTGGTAGGACCACAATCACATTGTCATTCTTTTGATCTATATTTTTCTATTCATCAAGATATATTCGTCACCCTTTGGAAATCGAAAGAAACTCCGATTTTGATTTTAATAGGTGCAGTTTATAGCAGAACACCATTGACATTTCGTGATAACTGGGGCCATGCTTGTCTGCGATCAACGTAAATGCCTTGAACAATGGACGCAATTTGTTTTGTTTACCGCGCGTTTCTCCACGATCAGCTGGAGACCCAGATACGCGTCTCCGGCGAAGTGCTGTCTCTCGAGTATTACTGTAAACTCTCTGGTCTGGGTTGAGCAGTTCTTGGAAGTAATTTTCCCATCTTTTCTTGATTGCATGTTTGCCGAGAATGGCGTTTCCCTCTTTATCATGTATAATGCATGTCGGGTTGTATGGGTCTTTCCTTATTCGCATGCTCTTCACACTTTAAAAAAATTCTCTTGGGCTTTCCTTACAGATTTTGGTCAGTTTCTCGCCATATATTTTCCATGCATTTTCTTTAGCAGTTTTGATGATTCTTTTGGTCTCTCTTCTCGCTTTCCTGTATTCTATTTAGTCTTCTTCGGTCTTTGACTTCTTGCCATTTCTTGAATTTCTTCTTTTTCATTCTAATTGCTTCTTTGGTTTCATCATTCCATCAGCTTGTTGTTCTGCCTTTGTTTCCACCTATTCGTTTGGTGCCACAACAGTTTATTAGTGTTTCTGACAGGGATTTTTAGAATATTTGCCATTCGTCTTCTATGTCCTTGATCTCAGGTGACAGTTCAAAGTACTCCTTGGTTAATGTCATCCTCGACTGCTTTCTTGATGTCTGATTCTTCCAATTTTCTTAGGTTAGTCGTGGTTTTTCCCCTGTTTTTCTTTGTTTGCTTCACGTTGTGGGTTGTGAGAGTAAGTATCACAGGTCTATGGTCCATGTCGATGAAGTAGTTTGGAACCCCTCTCGAATCTTTGGCTGTATGTCTTTGTTTTCTGTGCATCAGGATGAAATCAATTTGTGAAGCATGGTTCAGGTCACTCCATTTGTACCAGGTCTTGATTTGGCTTTGTCTATGTTGGAAAAATGTGTTTGTAATCATCATGTCGTGCTCAGCGCATAGGTTTAGTCTCATTTCTCCATTCTTGTTGCAGTCTGTATCTTTATCACTGTGGGGTCCCAAGTACTCTTCCCATTGGGTTCTTCTTCGTCCAACTCTGCCATTTAAATCTCCCAAGATTAACATATCTTCTTTGTTCTTGATGGTGTTAATATGGTCACTCAGGTCTTGGAAATATGATTGTCTATCTTCCTCTGTATAGCTGTCGTTACAGGGAGCGTATGTTTGGATGTACGTAGTTGTTTTGATACCCTCTATGAGTTTTATATGCTCACTATTCTCTCTGAGATCTGATTGATTTCATAGATTGTACTTTTCCAGGTCGTTTTCTGTTTGAATCTGTCCGTGTTTTCTCCTTTGATTTTTTTCGTAGCAGTAATTATCCGCCGTCGGCTTGCTAGGCCAGTCACGGTTTCACCAGAGCCCATTTAGCAAGCAACGTTTCGGGGTGACCCGGGTCGGCCTTCACAGCTAGTGTAACACCTCAGTGACATAAAGTCACGCCATACTTCACCCAGACCCAGCTATCCCCTACTTTGTCCTGTTTCCACCTCCCTGAGTCTTAAAGAACAGAAATGCGTGCTTTGGGTGCATTAAATGATAATTAGTCACCAAGAATACAAGAAACACACCTCTAAAACTTTAAGTTGAAAAGTACCCGAACTTATGTCAGCACAGACAGGGCGGCAACAGGGAGCTGACCCCCATTACCACAACATGATAGGGCGTTCGGCGGGGAACCCCCCACTGCAACCAAAATTCCGCTGCTGGTGTGCCGAGCAGCCGTGCAGAAGGCTCTGCCCTATTCCTATCACAATCACATGATGAAAAAAAAAACTACATCAAAGAATGTATTGTTCACTCATTCAATGCCCAGCCAGTTCTATCGCACTCAAATTTTATCAACAGCTAGATCTAGATCTAGGAAGTTTGCTTTGGACCGTATCAGCCATCACTTGAACTTTGGATTGTTATTAACTTTAACTCAAATAATGCTGCCCTCCACCCCCCATCAATGACGCAATTTTTTTACAAAGGAAGTGGCTATTCTCACCCGGGGTGAGAATAGAAATACGATCGACCTCTCACCCCGGGTGAGACTTGCCACCGTAGGCTATTTTCACCCGGTGTGAAACAAGACCTGTTTTTCCTAATTTCGGAATACTTTCTATCCATGTGGATGATCAAATGGATAAAGGCAAAGAAAAGATTACGTAATAGCACAAAAGTAAGCTAATTTTATCAACTACAAAGATGCTATGATGGCTATTTCACTTTGCGAATCGAGCCGAACTACGGGGGTCGCTATTTTGTTTTGCCCGGAAGTTCTCGCAAGATCTACTCCTCCCCTCTTCTCTCTCTCTATCTCTTTCTGAATACTGTCTATCGGTGTGGACGATCAAATTGACCAAAACAAAATTTTAAAATGATGTTAAAACACAAAAGTAAATTAATTTGGTCGTCTACAATGATGCTACGGCTATTTAACTTTTCGAATCGAGCAAAACTACGCGGGTCGCCATTTTGTTTTGCCCGGAAGTTCTCGCGCTACTCCTCTCTCTCTCTCTCTTTCTCTCTCTCTCTCCACTGCCCACAGACAAAATTGTTCCCTTTTAGTAGGCTAACAGTAGTAATGGAACGTTTGTTCACGGCACAGAATTCTATAATTTTTCTGTTATCACAGTGTAGAATTCTGTGGTTTAGGGTGAACGCAAAATTGGTTGGCCTAGATCTAGGCTATAACGGTGAACGCGCACCGGGTGAGAATAGCCAAAAGACTCGTCTGCACTATTCTCACCCCGGAGGTGGCCTTTACAAATGAATAACAATGGCCTCTAGAGGCATCTATCTCTCATTCTCTACAACTTTCCCTCGCGCACACGCACTTTCCACGCACACACACACACAATCACATTTTTGCATAGTAGTAAAATCCTCAAACACCAATCTGTCCCTATCTATGTTATTTAATTATTGCTTTCTCAAAATTACCTTGTTTGAGTTCAAATGTCTGTTGAGAGTGAAGCAGACAGCTGAGCGACATCGAGTCTTGTTTATCAAGCCACTCAGGCTGCGTGCAACTGCAGAAATCGACATGATGTGCTTGCAGTAGGCCTCATTAAATCTTGCACTTTCGAAACAAACAGATCCAGACCCAATCTCGTGTTCTAACAGGATCGAATGTTGTGGATTCAAGGAACGAAATCCTCAACCTTGACGATGCTTCGACACACGGCAACGACCAGCAATGCTCCCCGTTGTAATAGCTTGTTTACTTCGTCTCCCCTGAGGTTTTTTAACTGCTGTCAACTACTACATACCAATGCAACATTATGTATTCGAATAAATACTTTTGTAACCTATCCGTAGGCCTATTTGCAAATAAACTTCCATTCACCCAGATTCAACCTGTGTAAACGGGGCAGACATAATAAATGTTATTGTGTTCAAAGTAAAGGGCAACATTTGACGCTTGTCTGATTTTTTTAAATATTGGTATGAGAAAATGTATTTTTCTTTTTTGAAGGAAAAGCTACCGTCTAATCTATTCCTTATATTTCTTACTTTTTGTATTGAGTTTTTCATTCATGTCATAATTAAGCTTATATTTATTGGCCTATTATTTTCCAAACTTTTTGCTTGGTTGTGTTCCGCTATTTTATCATAATAATATTCTGATTATTCGATTGCACTACCGGCTTCATCTTGTCTCATTTACTCGGTTAATATTATTGGTGGATGAGGTAACAACGGATGCACAATTATGACATGATGACAATGTTACATTACTTTGGCACAGTTTATTACGTATATTTTTTTACACACCCGGTTGTGCGAGCTGTTTCTCAGGACTCAAGAAATATAATAATTTTATTCTCTATTAACAACAACGACAGCAAAAACTACACTCACGTGAGTGCGTATTATATTCCAGTTCAATATGTAGGTAGAACTTTTAAGGGTTTTTAAAAAATGTGTTGTTACTTTTTTTTACTCCTCGTCGGTGCTGCAATTCTTCTGGTAGTGTCTAAGTCACCCACCTAATATTTCTAACGCTTAGCATCAATTGTCACTACGCTTTGGTCACTAAAACTCATACATACCACAAGATGTAGCCTTGGCCTGCGTACTCAAGCAAGGGTGTTCACAGTACGCGTACATCACATGCCAAATTAAAGTTAACGTTAAAATATTTTAAATGCTTTAGTCTCTCTCTCTCTCGATCTCTCTTTCTTTCCCCCCCCTCTCTCTCTCTCTCTCTCTCTCTCTCTCTCTCAATCCCTCTCTTTTCCTGTGTGTCTGCCCCACCCCAACCCACCCCTCTCTCTGTCGCTTTAGAGCGCTTAATGAAAGCTCAAACAACTTCACAAAAACTCACAAGGTTGGTTTGTTTAGTCTAAATACCCAGAGGAACAAAAAATGTCCTCACAAACAGGGCTATATAAATCGAACTCTCTCTCTCTCTCTTGCCCTTTTTTACTCCCAGTAGAGCACAGGCCATCAACAACATTACTCCAGCGAAGCCTGTCCTGCGCATCCTTTTCTATCTGTTTCCATGATGTCCCCGCTTTTTCAATTTCCGCTTGTACCGCTCGCCTCCATGTCATCTTTGGTCTTCTCGAACTCAACTGCTTAATTTATTTTTTTTATTGGAAAGTCCGACGTCCATTATTTTCATGCCTAGCAACTTAAAAATGCCACCTTCCCCGCTTCCCAGCAACTTGATCATTTGAAATGGATGTAAGGGTGGGTTGTTTTTTTCAGAACATGATACTCTCATACAGTTCAAAATAATTATTCTGCTTCAGACATTGCCCTGAGAGAGAGAGAGAGAGAGAGAGAGAGAGAGAGAGAGAGAGAGAGAGAGAGAGAGAGAGAGAGGGGGGAGAGGGAGAGGGAGAGAGGGGGGGGGAGAGGGAGAGGGAGAAACAGAGAGAGAGAGAGAGAGAGAGAGATAGAGAGAGAGAGAGTTTTTTGTTTTAGAGTTTTACAGAACTTGCAACACAATTAAAATAATTAAATAATAAATAACGACCAAAGAATAGAGGTGTTACAAGAGAGTAACAAACACAAAGAAAGATAACAACAATACAGTGTAATCCTGTTATAACGAGAGAGAGGGGACCGGTGCGAAATGTCTGTTATATAAGGATTTTCGTTATAAGGAATCCAGTAATAAATTCAAGGGAAATAGCAACGTAGGCCTAATCTATGAGTTTGGTGTTGTTTATTTCTTTTTGTTATCTCCCCTGATGATGACATAGTTCAACATGACCTCTTGGTCTTACTTGATCAAAAATCGAATCGGGTTTCTTTCTCTAGCAATAGCAATGTTGACAGCACGGCGTTGGCGATAAGAAAGAATGCGCTCTGGGGTAACTCGCCTGCTGTACACATTCCCTCCATCCATCTCAGCGTTGTGACCTCTCCATCCCCGCATCGGAGAAGTGAGGGCATGGGTAGTGGTAGGCCTTGATAACCTAGACTAGGCTGGCCTATCACACGATGTGTTCTGCTTGTCTGCGCATACCACACCCTCCCCACTCATTCACTCCGGCCTTCATTATTGGCACACGTGGGTTCTCCCATTCTTTGTTTCGCTCAAGGAGTTGATGTAAGGTCCTAGGTTTCGCTAGATCACCAACAAGTTTCTCAACTGGCGAGGTTTATAACTAAAACTGGCCTGTGCGCTGTGCATAGCAGCAGCTATATATATATTCCGCTATAACCGACTCCCGTGTTTGTCCGATTGCGCTGAAGCAGTATTTTATTTACAAAGATAAAGAAGGGGATAAAACGGGGTTTTACAATAGTTTCTTTATAACACACTTCTCATTGTTTCAGGACTCGTTATAAGAGGACTCCACTGTAGATGTTTGATTGGAAAGAAGGAACAAACCACACCAGAGCACCTGCCAACCACCCAGAGACAGAAAGAGAGAGACAGAAACAGTGAGGAGAGAGAGAGAGGAGGGACATACAGACAAACAGACAGACAGACAGACAGATGGGGTTGTGGGGTTCCGCATTACAAAAAAAGTCAACAAATAAAATATATATATATATTAAAAACATGCTTTATTTCCATTCTTCCAATTTCAGGTTATTCATAAAATTTTCAGAAATCGGACTGATAGTCTCCCATCTTTCTCAAAATATCAAGCCTGCACTGTCTGTATACCTTATAATAGAAAAAATGTCAGGTATTAATTTAATTCTTGTAGAAAGTAATAATCTGGAAATAGTTCACTTGTATGTTGAGAATGAAACCAGTAGTTCTTTAAAAGTGAAAGTGATAAAGGTCTTTGCCAGGAGAATACTAAACAGGAACAGATTCAGAAGAGCTGTGTGAATAGAATGTGTACAGAAATCTATTATTGTGACATAGGAGGGAGGGACGGAGAGAGAGGGAGAGTGAGGGGGGAGAGAGAGTAAGGGAGAGAGAGAGAGAGAGAGAGAGAGAGAGAGAGAGAGAGAGAGAGAGAGAGAGAGAGAGAGGAAGAGAAGAAAAAGAGAGGGAGAAAAAGAGAGGAGGAACAGACAGAGAAAGGGATAGAGAGAGACAGATAGAGAGAGATTAGAAAGAGCAGAGAGTAAGAGACAGAGAGAGAATATTATTTTGATAAAAGCACTCTAAAGCAGCAATAAACATGTAGAACTGGGCAAATCAACATGTCAAGACAAAAAAAAAAGGTAAAGAAAAAACCGAGGTAGGAATTGATAGCAGCACCCTTCAACCACTGAAAGAGGGGAAGAGAGAGGCTATTTGCACTCAGAATGCTATCACAGAGACGCTTCAGAGAAGTTTGACCAAAGAAAGGAAAAAATAAGTTTATAAGGAATGTCTCTCATCACCGGGTGCCACCATAATCACAGAGAACAGCATTCCCAATACAGATTTACAGAAATATCATGGTCCCACAGAGACCAAAACTCTCCCAAATGAAGGACAGGAGTTATATTGAGGAGGAGCTTATCCTAGAGTTGAGAAGACTTCCAAAGATTTTTTTCTGAATGAAGAGTATTCCCTACTACATGAACCTATCATAAAGTGAGACTGTTTCATTTCAAGCGATGGCCATGACATAATACCATTAGAGCGTCAGATTTTAATATATATATATATATATCTATTCATACAAAACATACTGTGAAGGCAAAAAGATGGAAGGGTTGAACCTGTTGCACCATGATGATAACAAAGGAAGTACTAGTTACATAACAGAAACTGTATGTAGTATTACCATCTTCAAAGGCACCCCAATTGGTAACAAAATATTGGGAAGTAAACGGCCTTTTAAAAAGATGATTAAAATCCCCATGAGCTTGAATAGCAGAATTTCGACAGGCATCGTCTGGGGAAACATACAAGTGCTTTCAATATTTCTTTTTTTTCTTGTAAATCTGGAAAAGATCTTAAAAAAACATACACATGACAAAATTACCACTACTCACAGCATGAAGTCTCAGCCTAAGAAAAAAATCTGCTAAACAAATTTAAACTTCTCCTTTCATATATTATTTTTGTAATTGAAACTCTTAAAGTATGCTAATGAAAATATGGAAATTATTAATTATACATTTACAGCTTCTTGTGGCAACTGTAAGGAAATTTGATAGCTTTAAAATGTTCATAACTGTTTTCAAAGATTACAAATACTTCCAAGCACCATTACAGGAACGTGCTTAGCACGATGTTTTCATAGCGACTTGACACTCTGCCCCTTTCATTAAAAAATGAGTACAGTAGCATATAAAGACAAACTACGGGTACAGTTTTCATCCTGGTCTCTAAATGTGTTTCCATGAAGTTCACATCAAAATCAGAGAGTAAGAATACATTTCATTGAATCTTCACACATAAGGCAACAATGATTATCTGAATGGCATATAAACGAGGTGCCTTTATTTAACTTTTCTCTTTGCAGCGCAAAGACAGAAACAATGTTAACATTTGCCCAGCACAGATCACGTATCCCCCCCCCACCCCATCTTCACTGCTACATATAATACAATGTTACTGAATGCTTATGTACACACATGCATACCATTATTGGATCCGATGGCCATCAAACAAATTTCACAAATCCCTGTAAAACTTGGATGCTCATAAAAAGTTAAAAATTTGTTTCCGCTAATCAGTGAAATGTTCAATAATTTGAGCTGTCTTCTGAAAAATGTTGGCAGATTAGTTTATCATGGTAGGTAGGTTCCTAAAGGAGAATGACAGACGAAACAACACACAATAGCCTATATTGAATGCTTTTCATTTGTGTTGCAAAGTGAGTGCGAGGTGCTGCAGTCAAAACTTACCTTTTTATAGTATATGAAATGGCAAAATTTCACTGGACAAATGTTAACAGGTCTAACGTTTTGCAGGGTATGGAAACACTGATAACGAGACAGGTAAAGTCTTATGGCAAAGACATACATTTCGAGCTAACCCTTTTGCTTAAAAAAAAAAAAAAAAAAAAGAATAAAACTACAAAAGAGAATGATCTCATCTGCTATGGCACCAGCCTGAACATATGATAACTTTTGTCTTTAAATAAAGTGAGCTCCGTTGGGATAACTTAAAAACAAAAGATGAGCCAACCCTTACACGAGAAGGAATCTTAACACTCACTCAATGGAAAAAGGGTGCATCATTAAAATGTTACATAACTGAGATTGAATCCTGAATGGCATATGTTTGTAACTATTTTGTTACTAAACTTCCACCTTCTTTACTCTCAAAATATTCTTAAAGAGAACAAACAGCAAACATAATAGAATTCATAATGGTAGAATGTTTGTAAGCAATGTCAACAGATATGAAGTAGAATATATTCTTACTTGCTGCCCTATAGCCATTCATGATTTTTCTAATTCTTTTGCATTAAAAGTTTCTAAAAAAATACCTCCTACAGTATTAGGTAAGGGAATGGGTGGAAAAATAGCTGATGGTGATGAGGTAAAAACTTTAAAAAGCATTATGAGAAAAAAGAAAACAACAGTTTAAAAATACACGTAACGTTACCATCTTTAAAAAATATATTAAAGGTAGGATATATATTACTTTTCAACTCCAGTTTGAAAAATATCAAAAAAGACTTTACAAAAATTTTGTATGCTGCTGTAAGACTTTCCTCAAATCAAACTGCACACTAGGATGAAGATGGAGACGTTAGATGTTTCATAGAGAAAACCCTCACTACTTCTTCAGCTTGACACTCAGGCCACCCCACAGAGAGCTAGTTCATGTAACATAAAATCATGCACAGAGATCTTATGTGAATTCTCAACGAAAATGAACCATTGGAGATTAAGGTAAGGACATCTGTTTAGTTCAATGAACACAAACACTTCTATTCAGTAAAAAAGTGGAAGAAAAAATCTATTATTCTTTAGTAGGAACAATTTAGGAACAATTCAAGATCCCCCTTGTTCCTGACTAATTCTTAGCCTCTAACCTTTGTATCGCTGCACAGAAAATGAACTTGTTTTCTTTATTAGTGTGATCAAAACTAGTTCACTTTCAACACTTTGCAACTTGTTACTATAAGATGTAGCAAATGAAAACAAAGTTAAAAAAGGCGAAAAAAAGAGGAATTGACAAGTTTACAAAAGGCCTACCCAAAGGAAGTACCGATAATCAACATTTGACTCACTGCACCGCTAATAATATATTATATATATATGCTTGAGACCCACTTCATTCACACACACAAAGCCTGAAATCATCATTATGCTGTGCAATGAATCACAGACCACATATTTAATCATATCAAAATAAATATATTGGTGCGACAATAAGTTGGACGGAATGGTATTGCATAACTCTCCGAATACCTTCAATATAATATAAAACCCTGCACCATCGGCAGAATACCTTGTTGAAGATCATGTGTGTAAATCGCATACATGGAATGTCAAGAATAAGTACACTTTCTAGAATACAGCCGTCTATATTCAAACTAAACTAAGTGTAAACTGCAAGGATTAAACATGTAGTACAATTGCAGAACTATTCTTGACTTCAGCACAAAGAGGTTCATTCTGCACCTACCCTTTGACAAAGGAGACTGATAAAACACAAAACTATTTGCTGGTTTTCTTTTTAGGTCATAGTAATACTACAACTATTCTGGCAAAGAAAACTTGTTCTTTCAGGATCCAGAAATTAAACACCAACGTGCTGACCAAATAACTACCACAACATGAAATGTGACATACTCTCAGATTTGTATCAATACACAAGGAGAGACAGATATATCCATGATAAATAAGGTTTTCTAAATCAGCCACAACCACAAGTGAACCCGACAGCTCCAAACAAAGGACATCTTAGACAAAAAGAAAACTACAATACATGTTCTTTCACCCTATCTGGTTTGGTTGTTATACCATTACCGTGACTTCATTTCCCAAGTTTTATCATACTGCAATCACAGAGAAGATTACAAACAAAAGATTTTATTTTTCTACAATTTGACCGATCCTTTCCTTGCTGCTATATCCACATGAAGAAAAAGGCCTCCCCCTGGTGACCAGTGACATCCAGCAAAAAGATCCAGGACGGAAGTATAGAATGTCAACACCCTGAAAACAACAGACAAAAGAACAGGGACAAAATAAAAACACAGAAAGCAATGACAAATTACAAAATATGAAAATTATTTCACTGTATAAAGTTATTCATACTTCACATAAATGATGAAAGTTCAGACCAATTATAGTATTCTAAAAAGGGAACATTTCCCTTCAGTACTATTCAAACCCAGTTGTCATCATATATCTAAGGCGAAATGAACAAAAAAATTATCTGAGAAGGCAGTGGCAAGGGTTCACATGAATGGGTTTTGATGCACACCTCTATCATTACCAAAGGCTGAAGAACAAAATATTGTCAAACAACTCTGTCACAAAGCAGACTTGTTACAGCAAAGAAGCTGAAACAAAAAGGTTCAAATCTAACTGGTATCAGGATAAATTTTCAGATACGGTACTGAATAGTAGCTAAGTTGGTATTCAAGTGAAACACACTGCAAAAAATAAGAACATTCAGTTTTAGAGGACAAGTGAAAACAGCAGACAGGAATATAAGATGGACTGCACTGTAGCAGCAACATTCATCCACCATTAAAGATTCTTTTAAAGAAATAAAACATCAATACTGATATTGATACTGACCAACCACCCCCCCCCCCAAAAAAAAAAGAAAGAAAAACAAACAACAAACCCCCAAAAACCCAAAGAAACCCCCATTCAACAAAAGACAGGTCATCTCCCCATGCACTCACCAAGTTAAGTCTGGGAGCCCTGACCAGTGGCCATCAAACTGCTGTAGAAATTAAAATTCAGGTTGCTCTCATCCATGGTAGGTTTCCTGAAACAGACGTTAAAACAAGCTTCACAATACATAAGCTTACCTAGAGAATCATTAAAAGCATCACAGCTTTTTTTCAATTTTTGCCACAATAATTTTATGATGTGCTTATTGTAGAAAAGAGAATATGAAAGACAACCTAAACATTACTCATCTCTCCCCAAGGCTGCGAGCAAAATTAAAACCAAGAAGGCAAAGTTCACATTCAAATCTACCTGGAACACACGACATAAAAAAAACTCCACCAATGCCTAAATTTGACCAAATATATAACATGACGATTTTGTAAAAAAGAATATATTGTCCAGATTACAAAATGTCATCCACAAAACAAAACAAAACAAAACAAAACAAAACAACAAAAAAAACAAAAAAAGAGGGAGAGAGAGAAAGATATGAGGTCTCCGAATTGTATAGATGTAGTGCATATATATCAATTGGATTATAAAAATATATCACAATAAGGAACTTTTCAAACACATTCAACTATTTT